CTTCAAAAACAGACCTGAAACATTTGCATAAAAAAGTTAAAAAAAAAAGCGAAACAGTCCATGTCAGAAAAAAAAAGGTATTTATGGATTTAAAAAAATCAGCAAATGAAAAATTTCCCATAGATAAATGATGAATTACTTGCCAGTCGTTTATTTATATTGCTTGTAAATGCACCAGTCGACAAATTGGAGTTTGTGCAGAGCTGGAGAAAGGACACTCGAGCAAAGAACATTCAGTGAATGTATTTACTTAAGAGACAAGAAATGTGGTGAACTTACCCCTACCATTATTAAACACCCCTAAATCTTTTGCACATCTATAGATGCATAAATATCGGTCCGTGAATCCAGGCAATAAAGGAAATGTTCATAAAGGAAATGAAACCATTTTCTGAATGTGAATATGTTCGGTTTTCAATGGGCAGGACGTCTACCAGATAGAAAACAGGTAAATATGTCTTTCGATTAATTCCTTTCTTTCAGAATAAGAAGCAGAATTGAAACGACAGTTTTTCTTGTGATCTTTCTTCTTCTTTTAACAGAAATTCTTTTTTTGTTTATCCATTCATAAATTTACTTGAAAGTTCAGTTTGATTTAGAAATGCGCCTTGGTTCATATGTAATGACAAATTTCCGAGATTCATTTTATATGTGTGCCTAGAGTTTATTCTTCCGTTTTTCTTAAATTGTATGTAACTTTGAACAACACCCCAACAAGAATAAAAAAAAAAAAAAATTTTACAGATTCACTTAACAAATACTTGTTCACATATACGTATGTATGTGTACGTGTGTACATAACTGAAACACATTCGTTTGCATAGCGTACATATGAGTATTTGGGTGTGTATAGTGTGTTTGATTTTGTCTCTGTGTTTGACATACATATTTTGACATCTATCTCACCTTCCATCCGGTTATATCAAAGAGGACGTTGCATATATATATATATATATATATATATATATATATATATATATATATATATATATGGGCATTGTTTCTAGTGTCCAAAATGCGAAATGAAAACTAACATTGTCGATACACTTAATCATCTTATTTTCTCTCGAATACTTTTACTTCATAATAAGGTTTCGTTACGCCATCGATATCTCCATTTTTATGAGTGTTTTTTGTTTGTAATCCAACCGTGAAATACCATCTATTAATTAGTATAAGTGTATAACTAATATAAAGTTTAATTAAATAACGTTGTACTTAGCGTTTTGTAGTAAAAGGCCCAAGGAAGAACTCGCTTTCTTTTGACATTTTTAAAAGGAGCAAACAAAAACTTGATGTTGTTCACTTCCGTTTGGGACCGAAGCATCCAACTAACTGATCATTGACTGACGAATCTTGGGTTTGAAGTTCTATTTGCGGTAACAAGTATTGGTTTAATTTTTATAATGTTTGAGTCCTGCTTCAGGGCAACTGGAATTTTGCTGTTCTTGAAAATTTAATAAATTTACTTTTGTAAAATGTTGTTACTTTTCGTTCGACATGAAACAAATAAAAACATCGGTCGAAATAGATTTTAGTATTGTATTAATCGAATGAAATATAAATCAGAAGAAACTGAAGAATGTATAGCCACAGTTTGGTTGACGAAGCAGGTAATTACATAAAATCCAAGCCTTCAAAAATTCTTCAAATATTATCTGTGAATTAAAAAATTGGTTCATCTTTAACAAAACTAATCTAATTTGCTTGTTTGTTTGTTTCAATGTCCAAACGATTTTTTTCTTTGGCGTTGGCATATTTTTTCTATTAATACAATTTTGCTAAAATATTGATATAATATTATTCATTATTCATATTATTATATATTGATCATATATATTGATACATATAATACGCATATAATCACATCATATTGATGTGATTATATGCGTGTCTGATTTATACTTTTCCAAAGAAATATTCACAATTCGACAATTAAACTGCGTTTTCTCGTTAGTTTCAGTTAAGTTTAGAAAGTCACCTTTACAATGAAATACAAGCTTTCTTGACACTGTTATTTCGAATTTTGCGATTCCATTAAAATCATTGAAATTTCCATGAATATTCCATCTTGTTTCGCATCCAATTCGCAAATATACTATATTCTTATAGCGTTATTTACTAAGCGGAAGTTAGTTTGGGTACACGAGTCCATGTTTCTGTACATGACTCCACGTTTGGATACATGACTCTATGAATGATGTGCCTAACAATATTGCTCTTTATAGGCCACCTTCATGCAATTCTTTTAGACACGTTTAACATATTTGGCTCTGCTACTTTCTTTGGACCACTAGGCTAATATCTTCGATTCTTTCATTGGTTTCACACCACTAATCTTAACGACTGACAACAATGAAAGTGATTCGCTCTGAAGTACTGACTTGCCAAAAATGTCTTGGAAGATTGCATCCACCGTAAACTTTATAACTCCTTCCGTTTTCTGATGCGTGTCTCTTTTGGCAGAAACTGTTTGTATTGGGAAAGAGTGTCTGCCAAT